GTCTACATCCATGCTGTCCCAGGAAATCTGAAAAATAAAGTTGTTGCGTGTTAAGTAAAACTGTTAAAGCTAAAGTCAATGTATTAGTATAATTTCCGCACTGAACAGTGTCAAAACTTTCTATTTATGTGGAATAGTTGGCATCAGTAGTTTCAGCCAATGAAGCAGTATGAATAATGCTTTGGCTGGTTCACACATGGTCCGAAGCCATGGTTTCCCATAACTGTGTTTTACCGAATAACTAAGGAGACTCAGACAACAATCAAACTGTATACCAAGGTTGTGAACCATAAAGTCATCTTAACCCACATTCAAATGGATTCCATTCACATAGCATATCAACTATAAACAAATCATCTTATGACTTAATGTGTGAATGAGATTTCAGCCTTTAGTGATTCTTCTCTGGAGGGCCCAAGTGTGTCTGCAGGATGTGGTTAAAAAAAAAGTTGAAAAAAAACCCCATTAAAATACATTTTAAAAAACCCAAGCTGGGCTTGGACTAAACCATCATTGATCACCATTTTCTTTTAATGACCTCATAATCCCTTCTGGGATGGAGTCTGGGCAACTGAATGGAGCTGGGTGTTTACTGGCCGGATGCCCTTCCTGTCGCCAATGGGGAGTTTTGTTCAGCAGATATGTTCTCATTGTGCCCAGAGAGAGAAATATCTGCCTCTACCTAGGATCGAACTCACAGCCTCCTGATTGTGAGGCAAGAGCTCCACCTCTAGGCCACCACATCACTAAACAATCATTGATGCCATCTTGACATTTCTGACCACACCCCGGAAGACCCTCTTCTTCTCAACACAAGATTCAGAATGATGTCTCTAGCATCCTCCTCCTATTTATTCCAGCTTATTTGTTCAGCCACAACAAGATAAACGTTTCCACCTTTTAATTGATTTTACAAGCTGTGGATTTCTTCCATTTTTAGCCTCTACTCCAGGTTTTTAAGCATTTGAGGAGGCATCGTGAAAGAATGCAGGATACTCACAGAGTAACATAGCTGAAACATGTCTTCAAGGTCATCATGTTCATACTCAAGAACTGTCTGCAAATTTCTTGATAACAAAAGGAAATAGAAAATAAAATATTATATTTAGTTCTTTCAGCAGATATTAAAACAGTGCCAATCAAAAATACATGGCTGGAGTGGTTTCATATTTTTATAAGCCTGAGGACATGAACAAGATCTCCAGACTGGTCCATGCAACCATGAATAGACTCAAGCTTGTCTCTTTTGAGTCATCGTATCTAGTGATGGAGCTAGAATGGAGCTAGGTTGGCTTGATCCAGATAGTCAAGTATTTGGTGAGAAGATACCGAGAAGATATTTGTATGACTGCTCCAGAAAAACCTTTGCATCCAGATCATTTTAAAAAGTAAACTAATGGGTAATACTCTCTTCCCAGGCCAAATGGTGTATCCAATTTTAAAGGGGACATGCTTCTATTGGGATTTGGGTCATACTGGGATTTACTAAACTAGGCTGAGACACCAGTTACATTGGGCAAAAGAGACCTGAGGTGTCAAACTCAAGGCCCGTGGGGTGCTTAGATTTGGCCCGCAGGGCTGCCCTGGAAATAGCAAAGGACGGCCCACGGTGCCTCTGCCAGTGAAAACGGAGCTCAGGAGGGCCGCGCAATGGCTTCCTGTAACCCTCTGCCAGAGAAAAGAGAGGTCCGTTTTCACTGACAGTGTGCTCAGGCCACCCACAGGCACCCCCAACACGAGTGACGTCAAGCTGTCCACGCTCACCCTGGCCACGCCCACACCCCGGGTCAAACACAACCCTGATGCGGCCTCAGTGAAATTGGGCTTGACCCCCCCCCCGTCTTAGACAGTTCAGAAGAAGTGTGTGGTGGCTGCTGTATTTGTAGACATTTTTTGGAATAAATACATATTTATCATAAACCTGTGGCTTATTATCCTTGCTTCTGCTGAAAAATAAAAAATAATCTGTGCTTACAGAGAGCAAAACCTGGGTGCTTTTAAAGGACATTTTAATGAATCATTTCCACAGTAATACAGAGATGGGAGCCTAAGGAGACCCCATAAAGAGAAAAAAGCACATTATTATTATTACCTTTATTGTCAGAGTACAACATGTGTACAATGAGATTGGCCGAGTCACACACACACACACACACACACACACACACACAGTGTGGACAGAAGTCCCCAACCCAGACCTAATCTTATTGCACTAAGACCCAATCTTATTGCACATGGACTTCTTGCCTTTGATTATGCATAGAGAGCATTTTCTCTGTCAGCCATTACAGCTATGTAACTGGGGATCTTCTACTCCAGGGGTATCAAACTGGGGGCCCGTGGGCCAGATGCTTTACATGTGGGCCTTGCCCATCCCAGCTCCACGAAAGGAAAAAACATCGCAAAACATCATGTGATGGTAATGTGATGCAGCGAGTTTGACACCCATGTTCTACTCTGGGTTACTCCATCATGACAACTCAAATCAAGAGAAGCTACCTACTGTAGACGGGATGAGGGGAGAAACAACAAATGATTTGCTGATCTCTACACCTTGGCTAAGTCATCTTAACCCACATTCAAATGTTAGGATTCCATTACTTTTGGTACATTCTTTGAAACAGAAACATGGTTTTGTCAGTTGTAGGGGGAGTGCAATGACTGGATAAAATCAGTTAAGACTCAGTGTCCCTAGTAAGTGGATAGAACGTTTACCTTCCTAGCACAGGGCTTAGCTCTTTCACATCACTGAGAGTTGGCTTCTTGTTAAGCAGCTTTTTAAAGACAGCAAGTGGGAAGGGTATGTAGACAGTGACTCTGTTAGCTATTGAAAGCCCATAGAGAATACCAAACAGGAAATATTTATTCTTCTCCACAGAAGGCTGCAAGAACGAAACAGCAAGAAAACATCACCACAACTCCCAACAAGGACAGTCAATGAGAAGAAATACGGATTACTTCTGCAATATTTAAAGGGAGACATGTTTCTACAATGGGATAAATATCCTAGTAAAATGAATAGTAATATTGGGCCATTTATAGCAGTGGTTGCCAACTGATGGTCTGTGGCCCACTGGTGGTCTGCGAGAAAATTTTGGTGGTCTGCAGAGAAATGACACCCCAGAGCACCCCCCAAAGCAATTAATCCAGGCTGTGCAGAAACAAGGCTGTGCAGCCCACATGGCCCGCAGGAACACAAGGCTTGCATCACTTGCATTGCAAACAACATGAGGTAGTGAGGGGAGGGGGGAAAGGGCAGAGGGGGGGAACTTGCCCCATGTGCCCCACGCGCCTGGCTTGGCCACCGGACTGCTTCTTTCCACTTCTTCTGTTTTTGACTGCATGCAAGGAAAGCATCAAAAGTCTTTCTCTCTCCCCAAACTCTGCCAGAAATGAGTCTTTGGGACCCTGCAAGGCATCCTGCTCCAAGAGGCTGCGCTGGCAAAGACTCATTTCTGGCAGAGTTTGGGGGAGAGAAAGAAAGACTTCTGCTGCTTCTGCTGCTTTTCTTGCATGAAGCCAAAAGGTAGCATCTTGATGAATTGAGTTCATTTGAACTGAAATTGGGTCCGATAAACATACCTTGGGAGGGAACCACATTGGGGAAGTGGATTCACAATACATAAACATCCCATATTCTGGCTGTACCACCTTCTCAAACACCTCTGAAAAGAATTCTACCAGGTAACCTTGATCTCCATAATCAAGCATTTCATTTTCAAATTGAACCTGTCAAAACAAGTAAAGAAGAAAGGAAAAGTAGTTCAAAAATGTTTGTTGGAGATTCTCAGTCATCAGGGTCATGGTTGTCCCAAGGTCCCATGGTTGTGCTTTTCCGAAAGGCAACTGGACATTCTTAGAGAGGTTTTTTTGGGGGGAAAAGTCAAGAAAATCCAATTGACTTTTGCAAAAACACCTTTGGGATAGTTCAAAGCATCTGTTGACTTCACTGAGAGAAAACAATTGAGAAATCAATGTCCATAAAAAGCCATCAAGCAGAGGTTAACAATTGCGTTAGCTTTCATCTAGCATACTCATTTGTGCCCCATTAGAGCTATGACTGGAAGCAGATCTCAGATTGTTACCTGAAGCGGCCTCTGAATGGTTCCCTACCATAATCCCCCTCCCACCTGCTTCAAAATCTTCTTTGCAAGGGTCCCCAAGGTTTCTCAACAGACTTGGAGAATGCCCAGGCAACTCAGGATTCTGCAAAATTTGAGAAGTTGTACTTTTAAGAATTGCATCAAAGCACTGAAACACAAAGAAAGAAACAGGGAAAGCTGGAAAATGTTGGATTCCTTTAGTGAATAACAGAAAAGCTCTCGATTTGCAGAAGGTCAAAAGGATTTCATGTTCTTTGAATTCATTGGCTGGTTTTGGACCTATCACTCAACCAAGCTATTCCACTGCTGTTAGGTGCAGAAAAATTAGAGGTGACCGTCAACCTGTAAATTGTGTCTAGTTTCTTAGAATTAAGGCAAAATACAGATAGTCCTTGACTTACAACCATCCATTTAATGACCATTCAAAATGACCATTTTCTACATTTATGACCATTGCAGCATCCCCATGGTCACGTGATCAAAATTCAGTTGCTTGGCAACTGGCCTTCATTTATGAGGGTTGCAATGTCCTGGGGGGGGGGGGTCATGTGATCACCTTTGCAATCTCCTGACAAGCCAAGGGAGAAGCCAGATTCACTTAATAACTGTTACTAACTTAACAATTACAACTGTGGCAAGAAAAATCATAAAATGGGGCAAAAGTTACTTAACAACAGAAATTGTGGGCTCATTTGAAAATGAATATGTAAAACACTGTATGGTTCAATGGGCAAGGAATTTTGGATATAATGTGATGCTTGAACAATGAGAAAGTATGTGAACGAAGGGTTTAAAATTTACATCAAATTATAATCTAAAAGAGAATTTCTATAAGATGATGTATCATTGGTATTTAACACCAGACAAGTTATCTAAGATGTATAAAGGCATGTCAAATGAATGTTGGAATTGTAAAAATAAAGAAGGGACTTTTTATAACCAATGGTGAACATATGATAAAGCAAAAAAATAAAATAAAATTGGAGTATGATTAATATTTTAATACAGAAAATTCTGAAAATGGAGATAAAAATGAAACCAGAACTTTTCCTTTTGGGTCTAATGGAAAAAGAACTGGAGAAAAAATTTGGAACTTTGTCATGATATATGTTGATAGCAGCAAGACTATTGTATGCACAAAAATGGAAGGACACTTCAATTCCTACCATGGAAGAATGGTGGCAGAAGTTGGTGGAGTTGGCTGAAATGGCAAAACTGACTACTTTGATTAAAGAAAAGAATATAAGTACTTTTATTTCCACATGGAAACCACTTCTGAACTTCGTGCCTGATGTGGAGGAGAATTAAACTCTTGACTTTGGGGTTTTACAGATTAGATTGCTAGATCTTTATAGAACTTACTTGTTCATACTAATATGGAAAAGCAAAAAGCTGTGTGATCTATTCTTAATGCCTTATTTACTGTAACAGAGAGAGTCAGAAATCAGTGCTTCTTTTTCTTTTTCCCTCCCTATCTTTCCTCACTTTTCCCTCCCCTTTTCCCCTCCCCCTTCATTGCTCTTCTATTTACTTTTGTATTTTGTATTTTAAAATGCTTTATAAAGTAATAAAAATGGGATATAAAAAAATATGGGCTCAGTTGTTGTTGCAAGTCGAGGACTATCTGTATAATTGTGATAGAAATAAATAGTGAGTAAACAAACACTTTAATGGATAGAGTTTTTAAAATACAGTCCTAATTTTGAACGCTATGCCAGTGAGTTCTCATGTTCTCATGTTCAAAGCGCATCAGCAGACCACAGATAGCTCACCAACAGGTGCTTTTTCAGGTAGGAGTCCTCCAATATACTAAGTTTGTGCCAGGTGTCTTCAAGGAGAGAGTGGCGTCGCACTTTCAGAGTAAAGGTAGGGCGTTCTGGGAGGTCACTGTTTCTCAGCCTCCAATTCTTGCCCAATTCACAATAAGCTTTTGTTTTTAGTAACTGGAGAAGTCCAGGGGGAAAAGAGATAAAAACCAATAAACAATTTTCACATTTTATCATCGAAGAAATGTAAGCAAATCAAAGGAAACCTTCTTTTAAGGCAGTTCTGATGATGGTGCATTTTCTCCCCAAATAACCCAACAGCATTCAACCATTTCCTTAAATGTCTATAGAGATTCTCAATCACCCAGCTCATGGTTCTCCAAAAGAGGCAACTGGAGACTTTCTGGTTTTTCTTTGAGGATGTCTTCAGTGAAAAACCAGAAAGTCCAGTTGCCTCTTGAAAAAAGCACTTTTGGGAGAACCATGAGCTAGATGACTGAAAAATCTCCATAGATATTTAGCCAGGCACTTTGGAATGAATCCTTCAAATGGTGGAGGAGTATGAACGGATTTGCAGACTACAGGAACCATTTGCACTTCAGTTTGAGATGCAGGCCTCGATAACTCACTAACAACTCATGTATGGACCTCAATTCCCAGGATTCCCTAGCCAGCACCGATGGCTGGGGAGTTCTGGGAACTGAAGTCCAGACCTCTTAAAGTTGCCAAGGTTAAAAAACACTGCTCTACACCTTTCCCAAAGCATGTTCTTGATCTGTCTTTTTCCAGATGACACATTTCTGCTCCCCTATCCGAAAACACCCCTCACCCAATTTTTTTTTTTTTTACACAGGAAAAAAAATTGCACGTTCTTTTGCAAACAAGAGAAACCCGACCAACTGTCCAGTAATCAAGAATATTTTTTTTAAAAAAAGATTATTTACCTCTTGTACAGCAAAGGACCCATAATAAAGTATTTCCCTTTTGGTTGATACATTGTAGACAAAAGGAAAAAGGCAGAAAGAGATTAAGCTGTCTTCTTCTGGGATATTCTGCATGTTGCAAGGGGAAAAAAATGGAAATCTTTTGAAACAAAAGAATATATCATAAAATCTTCTTCGCTTGCCTTCTAACTTGCATCAATATACTTTTTTTTGCTCTTTTCTGATTGCTTATTTAGTATCATGACTATCATTAAGTGTTGTATCTTATGATTCTTGATTAATGTATCTTTAATGTATCTTTATGTGTCTCATGATTCTCGATGAATGTATTTTTATGTACACTGAGAGTATATGCACCAAAGATATTGTGTATCCTTGTGTATCCAATCACACTTGGCCAATAAAGAATTCTATTTTATTTTATTCTATTCTATTTTCTATTCTATTCAGTTTTCTCTTCTGTTCTATTTCTCTTCTCTTCTATTTTCTCTTCTCTTTTCTTCTATTCA